TCAAGCAATGTTTTTAATAGTAAAAAGTGGTTATATATTTAATAGCCATTAATACATAAGTCTGAATATATTACTATTAATGCTATATTTCTGACCTGATTTGAGCCAAACGCAATTATTTCAGTTCAGCTGTTTTGTCGGATGCAAAGAAGGAGTGAGTCAACTAACTCGTATTATTTCCGGATGAAAAATAATATAAATAATGATAATAACGCATCAGTTTTATTTAGCACTTTACTGAACACTCAAAGACGCTTCACATGTCATTATTCATTCACTGGTGATAAACTACTACTGTAGCCACAGCTGCCCTTCAGCCCCTTGGCCAGCCACCACCCATTTACACACACCAGGCTCATTGGTGTGGGTGAAGTGTCTTGCCTAAGGACACAACAACAGTTTGGCACTTTACAGCCGCAGCCGCCCCACTGTGGCCCCTTATGTTTTTAGAGGTCTCCCTTCACAGCACTAAACAGGCCCTAACCTGCTTAGCTTCGGAGCTCATGGCTTTCACATGAAGCGGCTAGATGTTATAAATCTGGGTATTCCACCATGTTATTGTAATAAATTGCCCCAAACAATGAGGCATGACATACTCAGCAGCGATGACGATGGAGCTCTGTTTACCTGCTCCAATTTCCTAAAGTAAGAACCAACACTGACTGCTGTTGTTGCGATATCGACTTCTCATTACAGCTGGATAATAATCGTATCATACACCACTGGATACAATCATTCTTTGAACATTTAGAAAGAAATAGCTCTGTTATATTGTGGTAATTCCTTCGATGCAGATTGAGAGCGAAATAAAATCCACTGGAGCTAATGCAGCGTGTCAAATGGAATGAGTGAGATGTGATGTGTTGGATAATTCGCAGATGACTCCATTGTGCTGCAGCCAGCCATAATCTGACAAATGACTAAAAATGTGCAAGGCCTCACTTTCTGCACCCGACCATCGCCACTTTTGTCTGAAATTGCCCTAAGGCATTTGTCACACATTGTGCCTCACACTAATGGTCCAATACGTTTCCCATGTTAAAAATCCCAACTGTTTAGAACATGTATTTGAGGTTCCAGTTTTGGATATCCTCAATGTGAAGCCACTTCTGTTGCTGTTTGATACTTCACTGTTTCATGTGTTTTCCTGACTCAAAATGACTAACACATCTGAAAAGCATTGGGCCGGTGTGAGTGATGGCAGGTCTAAGTAAAGAGCCTTGTACGCAGCTGGGAGAGGCTCAGGCAGACAGAGTGCTTCCCAAACAGTGCACGCTATGTCATGGGCCGAGGCAGCAGCGAATAAGCCGGTGTGCTTCAGGACAAGTAAACATCAGAGAGTTTTCTATTTCAAGCATGTATTTACAGAATCGTAAGTCGGAAATGAAATATTGTGTCATAAAGTACATGGACCTCACTCTCTCTTACTCTTTAGAAACTTGAGACTCTTGAGACAATCATGAAAGCTGTATTCCCAACTTAAAGTGAATTTAAATGTTGTAGTTTTGCCTGGATTGCTATGTTTTATCTTTTACATTGAAAGATTAAGCCATGGTGTCAAAGTCAAGGCCCAGGGGCTAGATCCGGCCTGCAAGACAATATTTAGTGGCCCCTACAATTTGTGTTATTAACCTAATGGCGAAGGCAACGAGCGAACAAGCAAGGTTATACATTATCTATTTTCTCAGGAGAACATCCACATTTAATATATTCTAACATTTTAATCCAATAACACATCATTAAAGAGTTTGTTAGGGCCGCTAAAAAGCCGTATAGCCTCTCCTCTCAGATGGGAGCGGCGCTTATAGGTGTGCATGCGTCAGACAGAGCCGCGCCTTTAAAGCTCCTGCGCATGCCAGACATTCTTGTTGGCTCATCCTGCCCCCAATCTGCCACCTGCGTGCCCCGCCTCCTTAAGTTTGGTTTTGCTCTGGTTTTGTTTGGTTAGTTTTGGTTCGGTTAGTTTGCGGTCTATTTTCTGCACACCATTCAACACTGCAGACTCTCAGAGCACTCACTACAGACTTCCACTTTCATTAAAACATTAACCTTGGTTATTAATTGATATTATTCAAATTGGCAACGGTTTGGCGTGTTTCTGTCATTTCTATCAGTTATGACAAGTTCAATATAAAATGTGTTTAACTTTTTATTTGATCAAATTTTAGTTCAATCTAAACAATAAACACATTTTGCTTTCAGAAAAATCAAACGGAAAATAACCAATAAAACTCATTTCACATGAAAGTCACGTCAGAATACCTTCATAATGTAAAAAAGTATATAAGAAATGGAAATCTCTTCTATTGTTTCGGCCCCAGACCACTTGCTATATTTTTTTTGTTCAGCCCCTGAATAAAATGAGTTTCACACCCCTGGATTAAGCCTTAAAATCATCCATAAATGAGGAATGTACACATTTTTTAACACAATAAACCAAACTGATTGACATTTTAAACAAAGCAAAAACGTATCACAAGAACCAGGTGTTGGACCGGTGATCAAATGAATTAGCAAAGCATGTTTACCTGAGAGAGGCTTCAGCACAGAGGTGAAGGATCAGAGAGTGTTTGGGTCTGTACTTGTGTGTGTATGTGTGTGTGTGTGTTGTGTTCAATTAATGAGTGCGAGGGTCTGGAGCCCAATTGGCATCTGCTTAAACTAAAAAAATGAAAGAACTCAGACGACCCAAAAATTGTGTATGTGTTTGCCAAATGACACATCGCTAAAACGCTGACACTGAAATGCAAATACAAAAACAAAACCACGGTTCAATCACTGTGCCTTGGCCTGTCTTAAACCGCTGTACGTGCAAAGGGCCAAATCGTTTCGCCACTTAGCCCGGGGAGATCTGCACACGGCACACAAACACACTCTTTTTCACTTTATGGAGCGTGCGGACAATTCGTGTCCCTCCGGAAAGCCATCAGGAAGTGCGGATGACACCCACAGATGCTACAGTGACCCCTGGAGCTCCCTTATGTGTGAAAGCCGATCATATTTACAGCAGCACCAACACGGCCTGATTTGTCTCTTGCCCATAATCCCGTTAGATAATTCACCATTTCTCTCTATCGCATGCTCCCCTGGGACCGTGGGCTGTCGGGGGTCTCCGTGTCTAATGCTGTATGTTCACAAGGGAGTTAGTGTGAAATAAGCTTAGTTCTCTGTGAAGTGTTGAGCCTGTGTGATGGTTGACATGAGTTGGCAGAGAGGTTTTAGCGATCAAACCAACATGATATGTTCGGGGTATTATTATTCATAGCCTAGCCTTGGCCATCCGTAAACTGGGGTCAATTATCATTTCCTACATGTACGTCTCGGTCTGATCCTAGTGGCTGTGGTTTCCTCGGTTATATCCCTCCGACCAATCAGCGAGCGGAGGAGGCGGGTGTTGTGGGTGAGTGTCGGCGACGTCAAGAGTTTGCGCCGAATTTGCTGGTTGTAGTCAATGGCGGCGAATGCAATAAAAAAGTATTCGGCTCCAAATATCAAGAAAATGAAGAATGTGAAGCAAATGTCATTGTTGCAAAGATGTTGTGGCTCTACTCCCCACAGGCTTCATTAGTTTCAAAGGAGATGGCTAAAGCTAGGCTAAATGCTAAAGTTAGGCTAAAGGCTAAATGCCTCACTCACTCAGGCACATTACATATGTCACAGTAAACTCAGATCTAATCGTTGCAATCTGTAAAAAGGAGTTAACCTCCCCCACAAAACTCAATGGAGAAAATCCAGAACTTTTTGTACGAAATGAAATGAGTATGATGGTTTGCAAAGACCAGGCTACATTATTGATAGTCACCCCTTAAATGATCATTTCTATTTGTATTTTGCTCTGTGAACATGGGGTATCTTTCATGTTTGGTGCCAGTTTCTCAGTCAGTAGTATGTTGGTTTAAATCCTGCTTCTGAAATAACTATAATTGGCTAAGCTGTCAGATGATCGCTGCTGTGTGTCCTTGAGCAAGACACTTACCTCGCCTCGCCCCCAGTGTATGTGAGTGTGTGTCTGAGAGGGTCTTTGGTTCCTTGATGTGACGTGCTTAGAATGCCATGAAAAGGGAAAAGAAAGCACTGTAAATGTGAATATTTGAGATTATTTATGTCATGAGTAATGGGCCTAACACGCTGCACGGATAATCACAATCAAAATCAAAATAGTAATGAAAAAGTATTATTTAAGTATTGGATAATGGAACCACAACGTAACATGTATGTTGTCAGGGGGGAGCATTTTTCTCCTGGTTTTCATCATTTTGAAAGAAAAAAATCTATCTACATATTATTTACATTGCGCAAAACGATTAACATGTTTGCAGTTCATTTTTGTAGAAATGTGTAGAAATGTATTGCTACTGAAGTTGTTACAAACTAAACAAAATAAGACTTACAAAACATACAGGACGTCGTATTTGTGGTACAATGGTATTGCTTTTATATGTGCAGTATATTGTTAAATCAGTTATATGTTAAAGGTATGTTGGAGATAAGATAACTTTATTGATCTCAAAATGGAAAAATGTACATGTCTCATTTGGTATTGATCGATGATTAGACAGAGGATTTCTAATTCCGGATGGATCATCAAGGCTATTGGTCCTCCCAAATGTCAATCTTTCTGGGGATACGTGCTTATAAAATAAGACCAGAGAGATTTGTTCAAAAAGTGGAGAGGGCGGTTCTTTCCAAAAATTTGGGAAAATCCTCCTTTATACCTTTAAGGCTATTTCTACATTGCATTCTTAATGACCACAGCAGCCAACCCCTGCAGTGACAGTGGAAGCAGCAGATATGGCCTCTGCACATTCTCCACAGAGTCCTTTCCACATTTTTTTCTCTTTCCAAATGAAACCGTCACCCTTCCTTGCTTTCACACCTCAGCACTCATTTTAATTAGCTTCCTCTGATCATTTTCCCCACTCCCGTCGGATAATGCCTCCTATTCCTCCATCTTGCACCCTCTCGTTCCACGCTCTTCTCGCCGTAATTAATGAGCTGATATGTTCTTTGGTGTGGCCGGGGTCACAGGCCTCTTCCCTCTTCCTGTTCCCTCCCTCAGTGCCGTATGAGTTATCTCACTCCACTCGCTCGCCCGGTGCTTAAACAGACAGACAGAGAGAGAGGAACAGTCGAAGTCTGACCTCCGACGCGCCGCCTCATTCCACACCCATAATTACAGCCCATAGAAAAGTCCGGTGTAGAAGGAGTGATAGAGACAGGGGCGAGGAGTGCAAAGCCAGTCTGATGATAGCATCGGGTGTGCTATTTACATATACTTTAAAAGGTCAAAGTGAATTTAGATTTCTGGAGTGCAGAGTTTGCTCATTTGCAGAATTGCAGGAAATGTAGTCACTGAAAGATCTGGGTACTCCAGGAAGACCTAGTCATGAGAGCTCCTACAGTGAAAAATACTTCCAAAGTATTTACTTAAATAAATTATATTGTTCTCTATTAGTGGACATCCAACTGATCATGAGACGCTTTCAGTTTATGTTTTAGAAGGTGAACTTTGACGGGTAACACATGCTCGATCTCCTTATGCTACCACCACAACCACATCAAATGATTACAGGCCTGAGACAGGGACATTTAGACAGAAGGAATAACATGTGTCTTTTGTTCTTGATGCTGTGTTAAAGCCATTTCACTTCAACAAAATGAGAACTCTTCATATGGAAGAGAAAAAGAAGAAATATGAAAGTCTGTCATTCTGACATAATAATGTGACCAGAGTCGACAGCTGGAGAGTGACCAAGGGTCAATTGCGCAATCACAAGACGTGCACAAAACCACATGCCCTGTGTCTCCGTTTGTTAAGGCCATATTATGATCAAGTTAAATAACTGGCCGTCTTTCTTTTCATTTTGACTTCATTCTTTTGTAATTTTCAATCATCAGTCTGTTATTTCACATAATTTCACTTGTTTTCATGTTCTCTTTATTTAAAGAGAACAAACATTAAAAACTATTGCTGGATGATCTGACATATTTTCCCATGGTTGTCCCACGGTAGAGCAATGCAAATAATTCTGTCTTTCGAATCGATAGCATACTCTGAGCTGTAGCCATTCCACAGCCTGTAAAGCTAATCAAGGTGCTGTCGTTCTCGTTAAAATTCATGGGAAGTTTTATTACCTTTATATCCCGCCTCCCGTGTCTATTGGTGTGCATCATCTTTTAATCCTGGTTCTCCGGTGTCCTTCAAACACCAATCAAGGTTGTCATTAATGAGCATCTCTCCCCTCTCTGCTGTGCCCTTCTCCTCCTCTCTATCTAAACCTTTCATAATTAACCACAAACTCAGCTGCCTGCTAATGATGCCCCGATTCTTGGTTGCCGATGTGAGCAGAGAAAATTATTGCGAGAATCACTTCAAGTTTGATTAGTGATTTACCTGTGTCTTGTTAGGTTTTCTAATATAATTCAAAATAACTTTGTATCCAAAACATTTCCTGATTAGTTGGGATTGGGCTTTGCGGATTTGATTACCAGACATTTGAATGCAAATAGATGAATGCAAATAGATGCGAGGAAAAAAACCAAGGGATACGTTTAGACAGACAAGGTTGGGCTGAGGCGTACGGGGTGTCGAGCTCCATATTCACAATTTTTCTTTTTGTTCCAGGTGTCGCAACCAAGTGGGGTGGTTACCATGGAGAGATTGCTGCTATGCGTGATGTTGGTGGTCGCTATGGCGGTACGGGCACAGGTTTGCCCCAAACGCTGCGTCTGTCAGATCCTGTCACCCAACTTGGCAACCCTGTGTGCCAAGAAAGGCCTGCTGTTCGTACCGCCAAACATCGACAGGCACACGGTGGAGCTGAGGCTGGCCGACAACTTTGTCACAAAGTAAAGCTTCTTAACTGATTCAGTTTATCAAACACAGTTTTTTTTCCCTATAGTCTAAAACACAATGAAATGCTCTTATTCTTTACAAACTACCATCCTTCTGTTGACTGAACAATGTGAAAAGAAATAATCCGAACACACTGCCACACAACTCCACAATCCACCCTCAGTTTTATGACAGCAAATAAAAGCTAATTGCAGCGCTAGATACAATTTATCTGCATGTGCCACACATTCAATAGGTGCAATATTTCAACATGATAGCCGTAAGGTGAAGGTGTAAAATATGGTAACTGTAAAAGGCCAATATTTGCTCAGAATGATGTTTAGATCTTTAATCACGAGAATGAAGAATGGGAATCATAAATCTGACTGGCCCTTGAGGTAGGATACACGTTTTGTATTGGATTTTCTGTAAATTGAGAGCCTAAATCCTGTCAGTGCAGACCAAAAGCAGATACTTGGCTCCTGGACAAGTTTCAGATCTGCATTCAGTCTCTGGGGTTGAGCTTGTGGACAGTCAAGTGGATGGACTGTGATAGACTATAGACATAATAAAATCGGATTACGAATTTAAAGTTGACAAAAGAGTCAAAAGATTTGAATATGACCATAATGACGCCCTCAAAAACGAGTGGTGTGACTTTTATGAAATATTTTTGATTGTATTGAACATTCTAAAGTGTCCAGATATAGCTGATGATCTTGAGATGGATACTTTGATTTCTCTGGCTGGAGAAGAGATCCACCCTGGGAGTCTCGGGTTGTTGTGGGACTGTCTTGATTGACATATCTCTGCAATATTGCATGGCGATGCAGGTTCTGTCTCCTTAAGAAAGGGGACCAGAGGGTGTGTTCCAATTATTATGGGATCACACTTCCTGGGAAAACCTACTCCAAGGAGACTCTGACCGATAGTCAAATCTCAGGCAAGCTGTGTTGATAGGCAGCGGTCACGATTTAGCTTTGAATAATGACCGAAAGGATGAGATCACGGAAATTCATCGTAATAATTTTCCCTGTGAGATAACGTGAGAAGCTCAGAGTAGAGCCACTGCTTTTTCACATTGTGAGGAGACAGTTGATGTGGTTCAGGCATCTGTTGTCTCCTGTATACCTCCCAGGGGGTATGCCCAAGGTGTTCTGGGCATGTCCCATTGGAAGGCCCTAGATAAGACCCATGACACGCTGGAGGGACTATGTGTCTCTCAGTGGATCCCCTCAGGATTCCCCCAGATGATCTGTAGGAAGTGTGTGTGTCCCTGTGGCTCAGCAATGGACAAAGTGGAATGGTTGGTTTAAATGCAAGGACAGTCAAATCTTTCAAATATATGACAACAAAAAGCAGCTACATGTTTGAACATGTTAATTCTAGTTTGCTAATTGAAAATGTATTACAATCTACTTAGCATTTGGCTCACATCTTTCAAATGCTTCTGTATTAGATTCATACGGTTTCCTAATGGGCTTCGGAACAGCTGCTAACACAACACTAGTCACTGATGGTGTTACAGAGCTGGGGGCAACTCTGGTGATGATGAGGCATTACCCCGGATACTTTTATGAGCCGCGATCACCACAGGCACCAGGATCATAACTCATTTGGATTTTAAAAGAAAGCACAATCAACTTTGAGCCATTGCTTTCTGTGAATCCGTCAGCCGAGCTGCTTGAGGCTATGTCCTAGAAATACAACTGAGAGATCATGGTTCACTCACAGAGCCTTGAGGGTGAACAAATTGTTCATTGTGCCTAATTTGTATTGGTCTTTTCTGGTTGAAGGATTATTGTATGAGATTCAGCATTAATTAAGCTAAAATATTTAATAACAACATGAAATCATCTCCATATCAATATACAGTAGTAGATTTGTATGCAAATACTTTGAAACCTCCATACTAAGGGAAATCTATTAATAGACCTATAACGGTATTCACTTACGCAGTCCCTTTGTGCATAGATTCTCTTTGAGGAATTTTGTGCGGTTTCATGAATTCCTATTTATTCTATTTACTGTCCACAGCGTGAAGAGGAAAGACTTTGCCAACATGACGCGCCTAGTAGATCTAACACTCTCCCGAAATACCATCTCATTCATCACACCTTATGCCTTTGCTGATCTAGAAAACCTCAGAGCCCTTCACCTCAACAGGTACAAATATATCCCAGTAAAGACAATATACATTATAGACAATATAAAGTTATACGTGATTGTGCACTGACATTTGTTTTTGCAGTAATCGACTGACAAGAATAGGCAACGACACGTTTAGTGGGATGTCCAGACTGCATCATTTGATCCTAAACAACAACCAACTGGTCCTCATTCACCAGGGAGCGTTCAATGACCTGCTCGCACTGGAAGAGCTGGACTTGAGTTACAATAATCTGGACTCTATTCCATGGGATGCCATTCAGGTTTGTCTTTTACATGTACAGTACTTTTATTTTAGTATTCATTTTCAAAGCAAACTACATCGGATGGATTGCGTGATAATGATGCATGATACAATGAGCAATTAGAAATCTTTTTAGCTTACATGAGGAATGAAAGTTTGGACCTAGTATAGTTCGGCCATATCCAAATTCCAATGACTATCCTTGATTCAGGATCAATGAGGTTTCCAGTAGGGTGAGCTATAAGTGTATCAATAGTGTTTTTTTGTTAGCAGGGTTAGCGTTACCCAGCCCTAATATCCAGTAACTGTGTTTTTCTTGTCAGTCTATGAAGGAGGGAATGTGTCTCAGAGTATTTGTAGCTTCGAACTTTTGAAAAACAATTTTACCACATTGTCCCATTCCTCTTCCAACAGAGAATGATAAGTCTACACACATTGAGTTTAGACCACAACATGCTGGAGTATATTCCAGAGGGGACCTTTTCACTTCTGCAAAAACTCAACCGGTTGGACGTCACCTCCAACAAACTCCAAAAGCTTCCCCCGGATCCACTTTTCCAACGAGCACAAGTAAGTCTATCCACTATGTTATGAACCATACAACAACCCATGCCCTATACCTTTTACTCACTTCAAACCGTTTCCACAGGTCTTGGCCACTTCAGACGTGTTAACCCCTTCTGCATTTGCGCTCTCTTTTGGCGGCAACCCTCTCCACTGCAACTGCGAGTTATTGTGGTTACGACGGCTGAAGAGAGAAGACGACCTAGAGACATGTGCGACTCCCCAGCACCTCTCCGGACGATACTTCTGGTCCATTCCTGAAGAGGAGTTCTTGTGTGAACCACCTCTCATCACCAGATATTCCCACGAGATGAGGGTCCTAGAAGGGCAGAGAGTCGCACTCAGGTATTCATCATTAATACAGATTTGAATAATTGAGGCATCTATTTAGTTTGTAAGGTGTTCCACGTAATAAAATAGCAGTAATGTTTACAAGCTGCTTAAATTGGCCAACTGTTCAATGGAGCGCTTAACTGGGACATCAGCGTAAAATTTTAAGAGGAGACAAAACTAAATCAAAACAACAATGACACCGAGGCGTGGTGATGGCTTCATTTACATATATATTGGTCACACATTCTCAATCATGATAGATGTTGTGTTTTCAAATATATAAATGTCTGAAAATGAGAAAAGTCTGGCAGGGAGAGTCAGCAGGCCGCAATTATTATTACGTCGATTTTATTGCACCTGGCGTTGGCCTTCATATATCATATGGCATATATGAGGGGATCAGCAGGGTCAGTCCATCTAATATCTGCTTTGAATAACTTAGAAATATATTATAGAACATTATATGGGAGAACACAAGCAAACTTTTCCCAAGGTTTTTCACTCCAACAAGGCAAACGTTCACAAAAACAGGAGGAGAGTATCACAATAATAATCGTTTCTGTTTTGGATGCACCTTACTGAACATTTGTATTGGCCGATATTTACCTTGTTAACCACCATCGACCATGAGAAAATAAAAATGGCATTCAGTGATGTTAGAGGGCGTTGGCGGACTTTACGCACTTTAAGAAACAAAGAAGATGGCGGCGGTCGTGTGGCAATGTTCGACAGTATCAGAAAAAAGATCAGCATTTGCAGTTTGCATGAGTTCAGAGAGATTTCAAGAGCTGCTAGAAAATCATTTACCACAAAGAATCTCATTAGATATTTGAGAAGCAAACATGAAGCGGTGTACAGCTATTGCATGAAACTGAAGAAAAACAAAAACCTGAAGCCGCGAAGACAGCGCGAACTCGAGCAAGTAATAAATAGCAATAAGAAATCCATCGCACAATACAAGTTGGTTTGTGAAACATCAGTATCTGCCCAAAATATCCCAATCGGTGCATTCCTAGTTTCTGTGATGAATTATTGGTTCACAATGGATTTGGAAAGTACTTGAAAAGATGGTTTCAACATTCTGTATTACATAATGAAGTGCACTTTTACATTATCTTTGAACGCAGTCATAACCTTCACGATGACAGCCTTGCATTGGTAGTGAATAATACACATATATACATTTCTTCAAGGTCATTGTCTGATTGCTTTTCAAATGTAAAAGCAGTTCTTTTCAGCACACTTACAACAATAACCCAGGGACTATCTTTTCTTATTGTACGTGTGTATCATTTGCATTTATTTATTTGCAGAGATAAACATTGATTGTGGACTTTTCTTATACGTTTTATTTCACATCATGTGCTTTCATTTCTGCACAGCCTCATTTGTTGTTTTGGCATCCAGCTATTTCTAATCTAAAGTGCTGTTGGAACACTGTACTTAATTGTATAACCTGCAGAGTTAGATCTATGTACAGGATAGCTAATGTTGAAAATACTGTATGTGTTTTACCCTCGGGGAAATACTGGAGGGTTCCCACAAACTAGATACTGTATGTTAGATTCTGTTTTTACTTGTACTGCACTTGCCCTCATTCTGTCTGCTTAGTAATGTGTTCCACTTGTATGCTCCCCCCTTTCTTCAAAGGTGTAAGGCGCGTGGTGACCCAGAACCAGCCATCCACTGGATTTCTCCAGAGGGCAAGCTGGTCTCCAACTCATCTCGGACCGTGGTCTACACTAACGGGACCCTGGACATCATCATCAGCACGGTGAAAGACACTGGTTCTTTCACCTGTATCTCCTCAAACCCAGCAGGCGAAGCACATCAAACTGTGGATCTAGTGATTATAAAACTGCCTCACATCTCCAACAATACCAACAACATCCAGGAACCAGACCCTGGATCATCAGACATCTCCACATCCACACGTGGGGGGGCAAATGGCAGCAACGTGACAGGGGACGTGAAGGGAGCCGATAAGAGAGTGGTGACAGCTGAGGCCACGTCTTCAACCGCACTCATCAAGTTCAACTTTCAAAGGAATATCCCAGGAATACGCATGTTCCAGATCCAGTACAACGGGAGCCAGGACGACTCGCTGGTGTACCGGTGAGTCTCAAAAATCTCATGTAGTAGTGTTTGGGACAATGTCATGGATGTGGTTCTTTCATTTGGCATCTTGTTTGGATATACTTGTAAACAACAATTAGTTACGCTAATTGGCAAAACAACTGTCAAATATTAGTATCACTCTGTATGTATTTGTCCTTGTTATTTAGAAAACGTATGTTGAAAAAAAAAATGCAATAGCTCCACAGTTTTCAGAGCTTGTGTGCATTTTTTCCATGGGCAAGTGGGGGTGTACCCGGAAAGAGAATTACCCAATGCTTCTTTCTTTAATATTTACAGTTTATGATGGGGATACAAGACAAGGTTTGTAGTTGACCTATAGAGCATGGAACAATCTGAGAAAGGGAGGGGTCACTGGAAAATAGATTACATTTCTTCATATTTTGTAACTTGGCAATATATTTTGTATTTTGCATCTGAAAATCTCTATGGTTTACTGGTGTGTTTGATGAGCTCTATGGGATAAGCGAGTATCTTTTGTGTTATTAGAGAAACCTTCTTCCACCTCTGGCACAGTGGAGAGACAGCATTATGGCTACTGCATATAACATCCGTCTTAGATTGGATTACGTTTGATTAGACGCTAATGATTGTGTTAGCAAGTGCGGTCGGGCCAAATAAAAACCAAACACGCAACGAATCTGAGCTGAATTAAAGTGATAAAGCAAATGGGCTGTTTACGGCAAAATCAATGATGGTCTTAACAGATTGTAAAAAATGTCCTGCTTGACAAAGTAATTCAGCCTGACCTTAGGCGAGAAGTTTGGCATCTTTGTATGCTGACTAGATTTGCTTGCATTGGGTGTCCTGCTTCTTCACTTATGCTTGTTTGTGCGGGATTACACAGACTAAAGCTACCTCACAGGGAATGAGTATTTGAGCTAAATATTTGCCTTGGAGATGGGGGAGATCGAATTAGCAAACATAGCATAGCCCACACAACCCAACTCTATTATCTGCTCTTAATATCAACGCTATTCCTCATTCATCAGTACCTTGTCATAGACGCAAAGTGAATCTTGCGAAACCAACAGCCTGCATGCATTTATCTTACAATAGAAAGATTAATACATTTGTTGTCTATTGCATGACTCCCAAAACAAAATGGAAGATGACATGGCAATAACAGATAAATTGTCTTCTGTTCTCTGCACATTATTCTTCATCTTGGAACCTACATGATAGTTCTTTGTGAGATCACATTTTCCTCAATACAACTACTGTAGGTCCTATAGGAATTACAGCTTAAACGTACTGTATATAGGAGGATTTTCTACTTCGGGGTGTATCATAAAGACTATTGGTCCTCCCAACTGCCAATCATTCCGGTGATACGTGCTTGTTGAATAAGACCAGAGAGTTTTGTTCAAAAAGTGGAGAGGGCGGTTCTTTCCTAGCCTGGTCATACCACACCATGGTACAAATTGCATTTCATACTAAGGTCTGGAGGTGCTCCATTGACTCTGTTAACAGGTGGGAGGGGTTAACTCCTTTTGCAGATTGAAACGATTGGATCTGAGATTACCGTGACGTATGTAGTGCGCCCGAGTCCGTTGTTAGCATTTAGCCTAGCCATCTCCTTTGCCGCTAACAGAGCCTGTGGAGAGTAGCGACACAATTTTTTCTAGCGATTACATTTGCTAAACATTCCTCTTGCTCAGGCCTCGATTTCTTGATAGAACCAGACCAGATTATTAAGAGGAGCGCATTTTACAGACCAAGGTCACCCAAAGCGCTTTACAATGTTAAGAGTCAGATATTGCTCCAATCATTCCACACACGGTGAAGACAGAAGCGAGTCCAGAACACACTGGACCATCAGCTCCAACCAACACCATCCATTCACTCTCTCATTTACATTCAGACCTATACCTATTCACACAGTTTAATCAGTTGTTCTTCTGGACCGAGAACCAACACATTAAGAACACTCAGTTTAACATGTTCTGACACCTCAAATTATCACTGTTTATTACTATAAAAGGTTGGAGTTCCATACATAATCCACGTGATACATGTGCATATGGTGAAAGGCAGCATTGGCTTCAGTTGATTTGACGAGCTCCCAGTCTGTGGTTCATAACTTGTTCCAACATATTTTGGTATTTGGTTTGCACATTTTTCCTCATTTAACTCCCGACTCACATCTTCAAAGCATTGGCAGGAGAGCGTGACAAACAGGCTCCTATGGGTGCTCTGTGCGGACGGGTGATTGGACAGACACCCAGCACCCACCCAAAATCATCCTCTTTCACACCACTCTGGCTCTCCCTTCTTCTTTGTTGTTCCCGAATATTGCTTTGAGTCCACAGTGTGTTGTTCACTGTTATTTTACTGGCGTCCTGCCTTTAGATAGACAATTGATTTCCATTCAACACCTCGGCTGGCGCAAAACAGCTTCCCATTGATCCTGTTTTTTTCATTATCTAAACACAAGAGATACAGGCCAGGCAAAGAAGACAACAGACGTAGAAAAATGAGTAAAACTGAAAGGGTTGAGGGCTGTACTCTGTGTAGTAAAGATTCTCCATGAAATGTAAACTCATATTTTGGTTATTGTATTTGAAATTTTAAGATTAGAACATAGGGGTGACTTTTTACAATTGTCACTAGCAGGGCTGGGTATCTATCATAGCCTCCCGAGACTTTTGAGTCGAAACTATTAGATAATTTGATTCGAAAAGTTAAAAAAAAAGCTCTATTGACACATTTATAATTCATGTATTGAAGACCAATTATTAAAAACAAGCCAAAACATATATAGAAAGCGTAGCGCCCCCCTCGTGAATGGCCATGTAGTGAGTCAGTAAGTAATATTTAATTATATAGTTCCTTTTACAGACCAAGGTCACCCAAAGTGCCTTGCAATTATATATAGCACTATCCATGGGTTTCAGAGGGATGGACCGTTTAGAGCTGTGTTTTTCAACCTGTGTGCGGGGGAACCTTAGTGTGCCATGAGATGTTATTCAGTGTGCCTTGGGAAATGATCCAATACCACCTATTTGGGCAAAATAATGTGAAAAATGCTCCCACTGATGTCTGCTGTCGTTGGGTCCCTGGGCAAGACACTTAACCCCACATTGCCTGAAGCCCCCGCTGAAAGATCAAGGCCAATGTGGTGCCATGAGACTTGGGTAGCAGCTCTGTTTCCCCCCCGACCCAGAAATGGATTAATAAAGGGGAAGACGATGACATGACAATGTGAAAAATGAAAGTATTAGAAGATTAGAAATACTTCTGATTTTCTATATAATACACTTTGATGAGAATGTCTTTGTTTTGCTAATGAAGGCTGCAGAGAAACATCAGTTTGCATCAGTTTCTGCTGGTGGTGTGCCATGAGATAGTATTACATGAAAAAGGTGTGCCACGGCTCAGAAAGGTTGGGGGACACTGGTTTAGAGGTGTTTCACTGGTGAGTAATAATTCGAATGGAGCAGAGCAAAATAATTTATGCTATTGGATGAAACGGTACCCTGAATATGCGTAGGAAGGAGCTGGAGGGTTTGTGGCTAGCATATCCAACAGTCTGGTATAGAGCGGATCCATCTCTGCTGGAATCCTTGCTGCTCTGTCAGAGAGTGTTACCAAATATCCCGTATTTTTTCACTCGTTGCAGAGCCGTAGTGTTGCCATGGGCTTCTTTTCAGTATAAGAGCCTTATTGATTGACATTGCACTGCACTTTTATCTTAATGTTCCTGTCTGGAAGTGGAAATGGGGGAATATACCGGCAGCTGCTTCACGTGCATAAACACTACAATAAATGAAAGGCTGTTTAATGCCCCGCTAACCCAATGCCGCTGGTTTGCTTAACTTCCTGGACATGTAATGCATTGCAGATGTGAAATGTAATCTCTGCGATGGTTGATTCTGTATTGATCGCTGTGGAAAAGGCCTATGCACCAATTCTTCTGGTTGGAAGGTCAGGGTCACAGGCTGAGCAGTTCTCCGACAAACATGGATTTAATGTCCACAGCCCAGGGACACTTGAGACAGACAGACTGATGCATGCTGCTGTTAAAGCAGCTACTTCTTCCAACTGATAAAACACCTTACTCTGTTTCTAACAATTGTTATTAGAAATTATATTCAATTGTTAGGCACCCGAGCTTTTTGTTACTCCTCTATACGACACATTTTGGGGCGGCACGGTGGTACTTTCAGCAAGAAGATCCTGGGTTTGAATCCTGGTAAGAACAGGGCCTTTCTGAGTGGTGTTTGCATGTTTTGCTTGTGCCTGCGGTTTTCTCTAGGTGCTCCGGTTTCCCCTGTCACTAAAAACATGTACAATAGGTAAATACTCAAGCTCATGACCAAGCCGAGCATCAACATCTGGAGGTGGGTTCCCGGGCGCTGTTACTACGGCGACCACTGCTCCTGACTGAAGCCTTTGTGACATCAGGATGGGTCAAATGCAGAGGAATTGCCTTACGGGGAATAAGAAAGTGCTCCTTTTCAAAGTATTTTTTTTCTTGTGGCGGTGCAAGTGTGGAATTTAAATGTATGGTATGCATTTAACTTAACAACATTTTCACATCAATTAACCCTCAATACGGTACAAATTGAAGAGTTAAATAGAAATCTTTTATGGGCCAATTCACAAACAGAAAAATGACAAATAAGTGTGTTATTTCAGGGTATGGCATGATGAGCTATTATTTCAATAACAACAGAGTTCTCGCCATCACAGAGAACTGCACTGTATGAATGTAGCACATGTGAACAGTCTAAAAGGCGGATGTCAGAGAGATAGAATTACAAACCACTAAATGGGGTTTCATCTCGTATCTCTCACTCCGTCACTGATTCTTTGGAAAATCGGACTGTCAAACCTGCTCAGCTATTGGACTGGAACTTGAAAGGTATTGACACAGAAAAAATGAAAATATGAAACACTTCTGTCTGCTATTTTTGATTATCGAAAAGACTCAAACAGGCACTAAAAATGTGTATTAAAAGCAGTGACCAGAGAGA